TTTTTTCAATTCTTTCGGTAAACAGAGCATTTCTCAAAATAGATAGTTTTATAAGCTATAAAATAAATCTCAAAAAATTAAAATTATTCTCTGACCAAAATGGAGTTAAATTAGAATGTAAAAACAAAAAGATATCTGGGAAAGTATACATATCTGGAAACTGAATATCATCTTTCTAAATAACCCATGGTTAAATACAAAAGTATAAAAGGTAAAGCACTTTGAACAGAATGAAAATGAAAATAAATTCTTTGGATGCAGTTGAACTCAGAACATTGCTTTAAATAGAGAAAAGTTCTCCAATCAATGATTTCAGCTTTTGCCTTCCAAAAGCAGAGAAAATGAGAGCAAATAAACCCAAAACAATAAGAAGACATGAAATAATGGAGATCAGAATAAAAGTCCAATGTAATAGAAATCAGAAAACAAGAGAAAAGCAATGAAGCCCAAAGTAGATTCTTTGAGAAGATAATGGGGAGAAGAAGAAAACACAAATTACCATTGTTAGGAAAAAGCGACTTGATGAGCATTACAAGAACAGTGAGGGAAATTGTTGAGACAACAATGTTGACAAATTATATAAAATAGATAAATTAACTGAAAGGCACAAATTCTGGTTTGTTTTTTTTTTTTTTTTTTTTTCAGGCACAGTGGACAGTGAGAGAGAAACAGAGACAAAGGTCTTCCTTTGCAGTTGGTTCACCCTCCAATGGCCGCTGCGCCCAGAGCGCTGATCTGAAGGCAGGAGCCAAGTGCTTCTCCTGGTCTCCCATGGGGTGCAGGGCCCAAGCACTTGGGCCATCCTCCACTGCACTCCCTGGCCACAGCAGAGAGCTGGCCTGGAAGAGGGGCAACCGGGACAGAATCTGGCGTCCCGACCAGGACTAGAACCCGGTGTGCTGGCGCCGCTAGGTGGAGGATTAGCCTATTGAGTCACGGTGCCAGCCAGGCACAAATTCTTAAAGCATGCTCATGAAGAAATTGGTAACCTATATACATGGGTACTTCAAAAAGTTCATGGAAAATGTATATTCTGAAATACTAAATATAGATGTAAAAATTCATATTAACATTTGATAAAGTAAAATCATGTGCTCATTTTAGTAGCTAAAGAAAAGGCAATGGATAAAATCCAACATCTATTTCTGATTAAAAACTCGTGACAAACTAGGAGTAGAGGGAAACTTTCTTCATCAGCTAAAGTGTATGTGAAAAATCTAAAGCTACAACATACTTAATGGTGAAATATAAAATGATTTCCCTAAAATATCAGGATCCAGGCAAGGATATGTACCATCATTACTTCTATTCAATGTAGATAAAATAGAATGCCCAGAAGTAGATCCACACATATAAAGAATATTGATTTTTGGCAAAGTCCAGGAAAGTCAGTGGAGAAAGAATAAACTTCTTGGTAAATGATGTTGGAAAAACTGAACATTTACATTCAGAAAACAACTCAGATCCATACTTCATACACAGAAAAAAAAATTAATTCAAAATAGATAAGCAGAGCTAAAGTAAAACCTAAAACTAGAAAACTAGACAAAAATATTTGGACCTTGGGTTAGGCATAGATTTCCTAGGTATGACACAAAAAGCATATTAAATAAATGAAAACCAAATATGAATTAAGTATTTCTGTTCTTTGAAAGACATTGTTAATAGTTAAGCACACAGGAGGAGAAAATATTTACAAATTAATTTATCAGGATAAAAGTTTATATCCAGAATCTATAAAGGACATTACATATTAACTAATTACATTTTTTACAAATTAATTGCAAATTTTATTAATTACAAACTAGTAAAAAGCCAATGTAAAAAGTGATAATAGATTTGAATAAATTTGTCAGTTTTCTAGAAAGTTAAACTTTTGGGGCCAGCACTGTGGCGTAAGGGTGGAGCTGCTGCCTGTAGTGCTGGTATACCATATGGGCACCAATTCATTTCCTGGCTGCTCCACTTCTTAACCAGCTGTCTGCTGTGACCTGGGAAAGCATTGGAAGATGGTCCAGGTTCTTGGGCCCCTTTACCCAAATGGGAATACCCAGAGGAGGCTTCTGGCTTTAAATCTGCCCATCTCCAACCATTGTGGACAACTGGGGAGTGAACCAGCAGATGGAAGACCTCTCTCTCTACCTCTCTTTTCTTCGTGTAACTCTGACTTTAAAATAAGTAAATAAATCTTTAAAAACAAGTTAAACTTTTCCAAAGTTGTTAGAACATTTTATACTTTTACCTGCAATGTGGAAATATTTGAGTTCAAATTGTTACACATATTTAACAATACATGGAAGGGTTAGTTATTTTAATTTGGGATATTACAATGAGTCTTTAGTAGTATCTTAGTATTAATTAACATTCCTTTAATGAATACATGTTGAATGTGCTTTTTGTCATATATGTTTCTTTGCTAAAATGATTATTCAAATTTATTATTATTAACACATGATGCAGTCATTCCACAATTTGTATTTACCAAAGAAAATGAAAGCCAATACCCATACACACACTAATATATAGTGTTCAAAGCACCTTTGCTTGCAATAGCCAATCACTGGAAACAACCTAGATGCCCATCAACAAGTGAATGGATTAAGAGATTGTGACATAATAGCACGCATACAATAAGCACAGTCATCAGTAAAAAGGAATGCACTTTTGGTGTACACATAGCAATATCGATGAAGCACAATTCTGATGAGTCAATGGAGCCAAACAAAAAGTCTGACTCCACTTATGTATAGTTGGGGAATAGTAATTTAGCATATAGTAGATCAGTGGTAGCTATGGAATCAGGAGGTGGGTACGGGAGCAGGTATGGGGAAATGTTTGCAGGCCAATGGATACATTAATTTTTTAGCTAGTAATGTTTTCATAGGTACATAGGAGTACCTACACAACATTCAAGGAAAACAGAATTAAAAGGTAAGTTTATGTTTGGTGCAAAAGGTTTGAAGTGAAGTTTTTCAATACCATGAATTATCCATGAGTTTTTGGCAGCTGCTTTATACATATACAAAAACTTATATTTTAAATATGGAATATGTCAAAGTGGAAGTTCTCTCCTCCCTTCAGAGAAAGGTACCTCCTTTGATGGCCCTGTTCTTTCCACTGGGATCTCACTAGCAGAGATCTTTCATTTAGGTCTTTTTTTTTTTCTTGCCAGAGTGTCTTGGCTTTCCATGCCTAAACTCTCATGGGCTCTTCAGCCAGATCCGAATGCCTCAAGGGCCGATTCTGAGGCCAGAGTGCTGTTTAGAACAACTGCCATTCTATGGGTCTGCTGTGTATCCCACTTCCCATGTTGGATCATTCTCTCCCTTTTTAATTCCATCAGTTAAAATAAGATCAAAGTGGCTGAGCTCAGGGGGCTTCCATGGCCTTGGCAACTCATGACTAGAGCCTGGGGAGATTGCTGACGCCTTAAACAAGAGAGTCAATTTGTTAAGTCAACAACAGGAGTCACTGTGCACTTACTCCCCATGTAGGATCTCTGTCCTTAATGTGTATTTCAATGTGAATTAATGATATGACTAGTGCTCAAACAGTATTTGGCAATTTGTGTTCCGTGTGGGGGCAAACTGATGAAATCTTTACTTAATATATACTAAATTGATCTTCTGTATATAAAGATAATCGAAAATGAATCTTGATGTGAATGGAATGGGAGAGGGAGCTGGAGATGGGAGGGTTGTGGGTGGGTGGGAAGTTATTGGGGGGAAAAAGCCATTGTAATCCATAAACTTTACTTTGGAAATTTATGTCTACTAAATAAAAGTTTAAAAAATATGGAATATGTCAATTATATCTCTATGAAACTATTAAAAACAAATAAAATAATTCAAAATCCACCTCATGGAGTGGGTAGGCATTTAGCCTAGCAGTTAAGATGCCTGAATCAAGCATTGGAGCACCTGGGTTTGAATTCTGGCTCCAACTCCTAATTCCATCTTTCTGCTAGAGCAGACCCTGAGAGGCAGCAGGTGACACCCAGGTGATTGAGTTTCCGTTACTCACTTGGGAGACCCAGCTTTGGCAGTGCCCATCAGTCCAACCCATTACAGGCATTTGGAGAACCAAGTGACAGATGGAATAAATCTCTCTGTCTCTGTGTCTCAGTCTCTCTGTCTCCCTGCCTCTCAAATAAAACTGTTTTTTTTTAAATTCACCTCTAAAAAGCACTTACCTGGAATTAAAGATTTCTGAAGCTGAAGTTTTTACTGAGAGTTTCTGGTTTTATTGACATACCACTACACAGCTCTTTTCAAAATGCCTCATCTTCTCTTTCACCAATAGATACTCCAACTTAAAAATCACATTTCCAATGCACTGCACAATGCATTTGATAGCCTAAATACATTTGATATCTCATCAGTCTACCAAAATTAATTATGTCTTTCATTTATATTTTTAAAAGATTATTTATTTATTTGAAATGCAGAGTTACAAACAGAAAAGAAGAGACACGAAGAGAGACAGAGAGAGATATAGGAAGATAAAGACAGAAAGAGAGAGGGAGGGAGAGAGAGAATCTTCCATCTGCTGGTTCATCCCCGGAATGGCTGCAAATAAATAAGGCTGAGCCAGGCCAAAGCCAGAAACCAAGAGCTTCATCCAGTCTCCCACCTGGGTAGCAGGGGCCCAAGCACTTGGGCCGTCCCCTGCTGCTTTTCCCAGGCTATTCCCAGGGAGTTGAATTGGAGGTGGAGCAGCTAGAACTCAAATGGGCGCCCATATGGGATGCTAGTACTGTAGGCAGTGACTTACCTCACTGTGCTATAATGCTAGCCCCTATTCATGACCCACAAGACCTTTCATTAGGATCTTATTAATTCTGGGTCAGCATCATCATAATATCGTATGTGACCAAACTATGAGCAGAGACTTAAATATTCAGAGACTAATATTCAGAAAATTTCAGATTATCACAATAAACAAAAAATGACAATGTCATAGAAGAAATTGATCAAATAAAAACCTTTTCCTTTTTGCAGCGGATATCGAAAAAAATAAGCCAACAACTTGGGCTGAGCGTGGAAGCTGTTGCCTCCTGGAGTCTTCTCCTGATGTAGATTTTCTACCCAAGGTTTTGCAACGAAACAAAACTAAAATTGCTCAGGTGTCTTAACCTCTTCTTTATCACATGTTCTTTGTTTTGTATTTGTTGTTCCTCTTAATGGCACTTTATTTCCACAAACTTTAAATTTTTAATAATTCTCCCTTTTTAAAAATTCAGACAAGTGAAAATCATATGTAGTGCAGCTGATTTCCATCTATATTAATAAGAATTATTCCTAGTATTCCCAAATATAGTAACTTATTTTTATTTAATCCTCACAAAATACAAATAATGTAGCTGTTTCTTAGTTATACTTCTTGTTTGCCTAACAAAGCGTTCATGAAGAATGGGGAATTTGTGATAATTTAGCAAATAAGCAGTCATCAATTAATAAACTTTTCAATAAACTATCATAATTTATTCCAGAAACAGGCTCATGACATTGTGGCTTAGATTTTGTTTGAAAGAACTATTAAACTTAAAAAAGAAAAGTTTACATGATGAACTCAATGTCAAGGAAATAGTTTTAACACTGTCCAGTCCCTGGGAGAAACATGAGGCTCTGTATCCAACCTAACCTTCCTCAAAGTAAGTAGGCTAATGAATAGGCATGCGAAACCAGCCAGCAAATGTGGCCTGCTAGCACAGGGTAGTAGAAGATGTTCCAGCTACACACATCAAGTCAAGAGCTCAGCAAAATTTCTGATGCAGCCCTGCAGGCCAGCTCACCTCCTGAGTGAGAATGCTCGTGTTCTCCCTAAAACAAGACAAAGGAAAGAGTGCCTTCACCCAAGACTAAGGTCATTAGAATTGTATGAGATTGAGAAGATGTTGGAGAATGCATTTAACATGATATAGTTAAAAAACACCTGCATAGAAGTCCTAAATATGCATCCATATCAAGCATGGAGGTACATTTTTCCAAAATCAAGAGATTTTCTTCCTCACTTCTCCAAAATCATATGCCTGGTTGAGTATGAAGTTGGCCACAGATATCTATGTAGGTTTACTAGTAAATCCTTCATCCATCCACTCTCCACTCTATTTCATTTGTAATTTCAATCATGGGATTTTATATGAATGAAATAAGTCAAAATAATATACCTATTTGTGAAAAGAGTTGCTTCAACTCGAGTAAATGTATGAGTGTTATACAAGTCATTAAAATGAGTAGCATCAAGAGCATGTAAAAGTGTAGTACTGTAGTAAGAAGCAGAAGCTGAGGTTGGATATCCTTATGTCGGAGCAGGTGAGGCCTGAGGTCACCACCTTGCTTGTGATTGCAGAATGTCGGGCAAACCTTACTGCCCTCTTTGCTGACTGACTTCGTGTGGAGTCTTCTGATGAAACTGTCTGAACCTGACTACAAAACTGCCTCAGAGGCGGCATCCATCCTGAACCTGACTCTGGAAAATTATGCACAGAAGGTCACCATGGTAAGACGCTGATTGACAGACTTTATTCTTGAAAGTTAAACTTTTGCCGTTGTTGTGTGTCTACTTCTTTTCATACTTAATTCATGTTATTGTGTATTGTATGATTTTCATAAAGTGATGCTATTTTGTTTAATTTTTTCAAGATTTATTTATTTATTTGAAACTCAGAGTTGCCGAGAGGCAGAGGTACAGACAGAGGGAGAGGGAGAGAGGGAGAGAGAGAGTCTTCCATCTGCTGGTTCACTCCACAAATGGCCACAATGGCCGGAGCTTGGCCTATTCGAAGCCAGGAGCCAGGAACTTCTTCTGGGTCTCCCACTTAGGTACAGGGGCTCAAGCACTTGGGCCATCCTCTACTGCATTCCCAGGCTATAGCAGAGAGCTGGATCAGAAATGGAGCAGCCAGGACTTGAACCAGCACCCATATGGGATGCTGGCACTGCAGGCAGTGGCTTTACCTACTATGCCACAGTACCATCTTCTATTTTATTTAATTTTACGCCTTTTATCTTTTCAAATTTTATTTATGGTATATAAATTTCATATACATAGATTTAGGAACGTAGTGATAATTCCCACTTTACCCTCCCTCCCACCATCACTACCACACTTCCTCCTCATTCCTCTCCTGTTCCCTCTCTTAATTTTAAAATGATCTAATATCAATTAGCTTCATACTTAAAATATTAACCCAACACTAAATAAAGAGTTCAACAAATAGTATGCTGAAAAAACATCATTCTGCAACATAGAGACAAGGCATGTAAACAATCATCGAAGCTCAAAATGTCAATTTTACTCCTATAATTTACAGTTTTGGTACTCTGTTGGTTACTACAGATCAGGGAAAACATGATTATTTGTCTTTTTGGTACTGGCTTATTTCACTAAGTATAATGGCTCCTAGCTGCATCCATTCTGTTGCAAAAGACCAAATTCATTCTTTTACAGTTGAGTAGTATTCCATAGTGTATGCATACCATAATTTTTTATCCAGTCATCAGTTGATGGACATCTGGGTTGATTCCGTATCTTAGCTATTGTGAATTAAGCAGCAATAAACATGGAGGTACAGATAACTCTTTCATAAACAAATTTCATTATCCTTGGATCAATTCCCAGGGGTGGGATTGTTGGGTCATATGGTACATCTATTTTCAGCTTTCTGAAGTATATCCATATTGTCATCCACAGTGGCTGTACTAGTTTACATTCCCACCAATAGGGGATTAGTGTACCTGCTTTCACACATTCTCATCAGCGTGTATTGTCTTTTGATTATGGCATGGGAGACATTCTAATGGGATGAGGTAAAACCTCATTGTGGTTTTGATTTGTGTTTTCCTGGTGACTGGTGATCATGGGCATTTTTTTCATGTGTCTACTGTCCATTTGAACTTCCTCTTTTGAAAAATGCCTCTTCAAGTATTTTTCCCATTTCTTCACTGGATTGTTTTTGTTGTTTTTTGAGTTTCTTGAGCTCTTTATTGATTCTGAATATTAATCCTTTATCAGTTGCATAGCTTGCAAATATTTTCTCCCATTCTGTCAGTTAACTCTGCACATTGTTTAGTGTTTCTTTTGAAGTGCAGAAGCCTCTCAGCTTGATGTAACCCTCTCTGTCCATTTTGGACTTGATTACCTGTGCCTCTGAGGTGTTTGTCTATTCCAATGTGTTGTAGTTTCCTCAAAGTTCTCCTCTAGTAATTTGATAATATCAGGTCACAGATTTAGGTCCTTGATCCATTTTGAGATGATTTTTATGTAAATGTAAGGTAGGGGTCTTGTTTCACACTTCTGCATGCGGAGATCAGTTTTCCCAGCACCATTTGTTGAAGAGATAGTCCTTGCTTCAGGGATTGATTTTGGCTGCTTTCAAAAGTTAATTGGTGGATGGGGCTGATGCAGTGGTACAGTGGGTTAAAGCCCTGGCCTGAAGCACTGGCATCCCATATGGGTGCCAGTTTGAGCCCCGGCAGCTCCTCTTTCGATCCAGCTCTCTGCTATGGCCTGGGAAAGCAGTAGAAGATGGTCCAAATCCATGGGCCCCTGCACCCATGTGGGAGACCTGAAAGAAGCTCCTTGCTCCTGGCTTCAGATCTGCGCAGCTCTGGCCGTTGCGGCCAATTGGGGAGTGAACCAACGGATGGAAGACCTCTCTCTCTCTCTGTCTCTCCTCTCTCTGTGTAACCCTGACTTTCAAATAAGTAAATAAATCTTTTAAAAAAAAGTTAATTGGTTGTAGATGAGTGAATAATTTCTGAAGTTTTTATTCTGTTACATTGGTCTACATGTCTACTTTTGTACCAGTACCAGGCTGTTTGATTATAATTGAAATGTAGTATGCCTTGAAATCTAGTAGTGATACCTACATTTTTTTGTATAAGATCTGGGGTCTGTTGTGTTTCCATATGAATGGTATCATTGTTTTTTCTAGATCTGAGAATAATTTCCTTGGTATTTTGATAGGGCTTGCATTGAATTTGTAAATTGCTTTTGGTAGGATGCACATTTTGATTATATTAATTTTTGCAATCTACAAACATGGAAGATTTTTCTTTTTCTTTCTTTCTTTTTTTTTTTTTTTTGCAAGGGAAGGGGTTTATTGGTAGGGAAACCCAGAGGGAAGGGGCGAAGAAGGAAAAGGGGGAAAAGGAACGCATAAGAGGGAGAGGGAGAGACAGAAAGAAAAAGAGATCAAGAGAGAGCCATGTGTTCAGGAATAGTCCTTTTAAAACTTTGCCAGGGGGTGGGCAGGAAAGTAGAAGCAGCAAATCACATTAGGATGGGGGTGGAACATACACCAGTGGTTGGGCCATGTGATCGCCTAGCTTCCAGCAATGGTGGCCAGGCTAGAGCCTAGGATGGTGTCCAGGGCATAGATTGTGCCATAGATAAGACTACACCATTTTACCAACATTCCCCCCTTTTGTTTTTTATAAAGCAAGAGTTGTATGGGATTACATTAGCCCCAAAAGTCCAGGAGGGGTAGAGGGATGATGATCTGTCTTTACAGCTACTTCCTGTTGACATGGGGCGACAAGGCACTCTCTGCTGGCATGGAGTGATGTCCAAGCTGCTGACTCCTGGGTGGGAGATTTTTCCATTTTCAATGTCTTCTTCTATTTCTTTCTTTAATTTTTTTTTTTTAATTTTCATCATAGAGATCTTTCACCTTCTTCACTGAATTTATTCCAAGGTATTTAAATTTCTGTAGCTATTGTGAATGCAATTGGTCTTAGAAGTTCTTTCTCAGCCAGGGAATTGTCTGTGTATACAAAGGATTTTGATTTTTGTGTGTTAATTTTATATCCTGTCACTTTACTCAACTTTTCTATGAGTTGGGTAGTCTCTTAGTGAAGTCTTTTGTTCCCCTATATGTAGAGTCATGTCATCTGCAAATAAGGATAATTTGACTTTCTTCTTTCCACTTTGTATCCCTTTGATATCTTTTCTTGCTTAATGGCTTTGGCTAAAACCTCCAGGAATATAGTGAATAGCAATGGTGAAAGTTGGTACACTTGTCTGGTTCCAGATCTTGATTGAAATGCTTCCAATTTTTCCCCATTCAATAGGATGCTGACTGTGTGTTTGTTACAAATTGCCTTGATTGTATTGAGGAATGTCCCTTTTGTACCCAATTTGCTTAAGGTTTTCATTATGAAAGGGTGTTGCATTTCATCCAGTGCTTTCTCTGCATCTATTGAGTTAATCATGAGTTTTTTGTTCTTCAGTTTGTTAATGTAACTGTTTTGCAAATATTGAATGATCCCTACATACCAGGGATAAATCTTACTTGGTCCAGGTGAATGATCTTTCTGTTGCTGCATTCAATTAGCTAGCATTTTGTTGAGGATTTTTTGTTTGTTTATTTTCTGTTTTTTTTTTTTTTATTTATTTGACAGGTAGAGTTATAGACAGTGAGAGAAAGAGACAGAGAGAAAGGTCTTCCTTCCGTTGGTTCACTCCCCAAGTGGCCACCAAGGCCAGTGCTGTGCCGATCCAAAGCCAGAAACCAGGTGCCTCATCCTGGTCTCCCATGTGGGTGCAGGGGCCCAAGCACTTGGGCCATCCTCCACTGCCCTCCCGGGTCACAGCAGAGAGCTGGACTGGAAGAGGAACAACCAGGACTAGAACCTGGCACCCATATGGGATGTCAGTGCCGGAGGTGGAGGATTAACCAAGTGAGCCATGGCGCTGACCCCATTGTTGAGGATTTTTTCCATCTATGTTCATAAGGGATATGAGTCTATAGTTCTCTTTCTCTCTTGTATCTTTTTCTGGTTTAGGAATTAAGGTGATGCTGGCCTCATAGAAGGAGTTTGAGAGAAATCCCTCCCTTTAAATTGTTTTTAATATCTTGAGTGGAATTGGAATTAGTTCTTTGAAAGTCTGGTAGAATTCATCAGTGAAGCGATTTGGTCCTTGGCTTTCTTTGTTGGGAGGATCCTTATTACTCATTCAACCTCCATCTTAGTTATTGGTCTGTTTAGGTTTTCTATGTCTTCATGACTCATTTTTTTGTAGATGGTATGTGTCCAGGAATTTTTTCATTTCTTCTTGAATTTCCAGTTTGTTGACATATAGTATTTGTAGTAATTCCTGATAGTAATTCTAGTAATCCTGTAGTAATTCATGTAGTAATTCTTTTTATTTCTGGGGTATTTGTTGCTACATTTCCTTTTTCATCTCTGATTCTACTAATTATGGTCTTCTCCCTCTTTTTTGGTAGATTTTCAATTTTGTTTATTTTTTAAGAAAATCAATTCTTCATTTCATTGATCTTTTGTATTTTTTATTTCAATTTTGTTTATTTCTTCTCTAATTTCAATTATTTATTTTCTCCTACTAACTTGGGGTTTGGTTTGTTGTTGTTTTCCAGCTCCTTGAGATGCATTGATAGCTCATTGATTTGGTAGCTTTATAATTTTTTGATGTAGACACTAATTTCTATATGCATCCCTCTTAACATTGCTTTTGCTGTATCCCATGTTTTGATA